CATGAAAAAGCATTGATTAATATAATACTTTTCTTTACGATTTTTCAAAACATTTAATGTGCTTAATAAAAGTGTTGCTGGGTAAAAAAGTTTTGCTAACCAGAAAACGTAAACTTTTCTTTACTATTTCTCTTAGTAAAGTAAGTATGCTATTTTTCATTAAGAATACGAACAAATAAAGCCTTAAAAAATATACCCTTCAAAAAGAATTACTATAATATTAATGGTAATTATTAATGTTAAAATGTATAGCAAGAAAAAAATAGAAACTAAAACCTTAAAGGTTTAAAAAATAATAGGGATATTTAAAATAAAATTAATTAAAACTTTTTAAACCTCACATTTCTAATACAGACATTATTTTATAAACATGCAAAATATCAATATTAAAAATTACAAAGAAGAAAAATCACATGTTAAAAATTCATTTATATCTTATTAAAGTTGACTCGCTAAATACCGTATTTCTAGGAGACGCAATAAGGTCGCGAAATGTAATGACGCAATATTGTATTTATATATACATATACATAAATATACATCCTTAGTACAATATTGCGTCATTACAATTTGGCAACACTGTAGGACGCAATAAAGTCTGTACAAGCCATATAAAATTTAAAATGAAATATACACGTGACGCAATATTATATCAAGATTAAAATGAGTTGATAATGTAGTGACTTTTGAAAAAAAAGTGTATATCTTATTTTTTAAGATAAAAAAAATCTGACCAGATTTTTGGAATCAGCAAAAAAAACTACGCCAATATACTCTTCTATATTTTCGCTAAATACCGTATTTCTAGTAGACGCAATAAGGTCGCGATTTGTAATGACGCAATATTGTATTAGGGATGTATATATATATATATATATATATATATATATATATATATATATATTAGGGTGTCCCAAAAAAAAAGAATATTTTTTTTCTTCTCGTCTCTTGTGAAAATATGTTGGTTTGTCATGTTTTAAGAGCCCTGTCAAAAGATCAGCACCATTAAAAAATGTTTAGGGGTCGCTCAAGATTTTTAAAAATTACCAAAATCGTCAAAAATAGGATTTTTTTTATTTTAATTTTTTTTCTCTTTCCGATATTATTTTTTAATTTAAAAATAATAATGATTCTGAAAATTTCAAATCGATATTTTAATTTCTAAAGGTCGCTCTAGATTTTTTTAACTTTCAAAGTAGAGTATATCAACGAACTTTTAGCGACCTTTAGAAATCAAAATATTGATTTGAAATTAACAGAATTTTTATTATTTTCAACCTAAAAAATAATATCGAGACGAGAAAAAGAATTAAAATAAAACAAAAATTCAATTTTTGGCCATTTTGAAAATTTTTAAAAATATTGAGCGACCCCTGCAAAATTTTTAATCGAGCTGATATTTTGAAAGGGCTCTCACAGCATGATAAACTAACAGATTTTTACAAGAGACAAGAAAAAAAAATATATTCTTTTTTTTTTTGGGACACCCTAATATATATATATATATATATATATATATATATATATATATATATATATATATATATATATATTAATAATATATAGAATTTAAGTTCAATATTTTATGTTTAATATAAAAATAAATGTTCAATATTAAATTTCATATAATTCAATAAAATAAAGAAAAAACGTAAAAATTCTCGAAAAGCTCAATTTTATCTTCCACTGAAAAATTTATAAGCCATTTATCCATGGATTTTTATCAACAGCAGCTTATTGTTTTCCTTTAAGTATCATCTATACGTAAAACAAATCAAACTGGACTTATCTTTTCGATTTCTATCTTTCCCTGAAAGATATTTAAATTTTCGACCTCGATTTTTTAACTTAATAAAATCGCTTGCATCAAACTACTGGGCCGATACCAAAACTTTACAAGAGAAAGTTGTAGAGGGCTCAATTACCTCTAATTTAAATGCTTTTTTGGTCAAATAGATCAATTAGAACTCGAAGTATACTCTAAAACGTCAAAACACTTCAGAAAATTAAAAAAAAAAACAATTGAAAATTCATATCTCGAAAACGCTTCTATGAAAAAAATGTAAGTGTGATTTTTGCGTTTAATGAGCCAATCTACACAAGAAATGGCTGTAAACTATAGTGTTATGGGTATGGGTCATTTTTAAAATTCTTGTACATTTAAGGAAGAAAAAGTAAAAACAAAAACTAGAAATCAGTTTTTTTCCCAATTTGGTTTATTTAGGGGTGTTATTTAACACCTAAAAGTAAGCAGTTGGATTTTTTTAATAAGCCCTTAAAAAATAAAAAAAATAAAAAAAATTGTCCCCTGGGTCACAAATTTACCAACATATTAAAAAATATATATATATAAAAATGCTTAATCATTTTAAAAATATATTTTTTTAATTGTTAATAATCCTTAAAGATTTTATTTACACTAGGAATTGTTTAAAAAAAGAACATAATTTTATTATTTATAAAAAATATACAAAACTAAGTATAAGCAAGAGCTATGTTCTATTTTTCAACTTTCTTACATACATAAATATTTTTAATATATTTTCTGTATTTAAAAAATGCGTTTTAAAAAGTTTTTTCTCGATTTTTTATCTGGGCCCAGCTTGTCCAATTTAACGAGCAATAAATTAATAAAAAGTTTTAGTTATTAGTAAATTAATAAAATAATAATAAAAAGTCAATATAAACATTGTTTCGTTAAACTACCAAAACCTTTTTCCAGCTCCTTTGAGGCAAAATACATTGAAAAATTACTATTAAAAAAATGTTTTTAAAACTTTTCTATAAGTTTATTAATATTTCAAAAATTTATTATAATATATTTCTTTGGAATTGTCACATAACTTTCCCCTGTGTCATATAATATGTGATCCAGGAGACGTTTGACCCAGGGGAAAAAATGTATGTTTTAGAACATAACCTCTTTACTGTTTTAAAGATAAAATTTTCCATTTTTGCCCTTAAAACGATTACTAGGATACTTACTTTTGAGAATGAAACAAAGTCCAACTGGTACCTTTACTACTTTTTATTACTGTGACACAGGAGAATGCGCAGTTTTGCCACGCTGGTATAAAAAATACAAAAAAAATAGTATACCACAAATGGGCTTTTTCTGTAAAAAGGAGGGAGTTATTTTACTCTAAGGTGTTTAAATAGCATTAAGTAGTGAATATTATTGCAAGTGGGACAGCCATTTTTCTGTACTGTTGGGGAAAGTTTAATTTTTTGATAGGGTTAAATTTAAAATTTTACAATTTTGCTAATATATAGTTGCTAAAACACAAAACAAATTGATTTCGCTTAGTAAAGTTCCAAATGGCGTTAAACTCAAGTTGAGGAACAGCAAATGTACAAGAAATTTGAAAATTACCCCGTATACCTCAGCGCAAAATCTTTCATTTGCACAGTAAAAAAAAATCAACTCTAAGCAACACTAATTAGAGTTCACACAGGTCCACACTAAATAGTGTTGTTTTATAACACTACAATTAGAGTTAATTTGTAGTGTAATTTTCCCCAAGTAAGCAAGTATGATATAACACTACAGCACTGAGGATAAAGTAATTTTACACTATATTAAAAAGTGTTAATTTACCTAAAATTGTGTACTTCTACACTTCCTGGGTAAAATCCCACTTTTGTTCAGTGTAAATTAACACTACTTTGAAAAGGTTCTAATTTTAGAAAGATACTTTTACTCTTTTAGTGCAAACTTCTAGTGTAAATTAACACTATTATTTGAGTAAAACCTATTAATGGTAGTGAATAAAACGAAAAGGTAAATAAAGAGAAACATTTATTTGGAACAAAAATCTATGACAATTATCAAAATCGGTGCCTTTTAAAATATAATTTTATATTTGAGTCGTATGGCTGGCTTAAGCAAAATGATTCCTTAAAACGTAAAAGTTTTAGATCAATGCAATGTTTTACTGGCTGTCAACTTGTAAGCAATGAATTATCTTGAGAGTTCATCAGTAATCCATTTTTCTGTTAAAAAAAAATGGGTGATCCCATTGGTAGAGAGGCGTCAGGCGGCTGTATGTCGCGGATTTACCACACGTGTACAAATTTTCCATAATATTAATAAAAATGTAGGTATATGTTAATATAACAACCATTACGCTTGAAAATAAAAAGTAAATGAAGTGTGTATGTATTTATATTATTAATGTTACAAGTACCCGACCTATTGCCGTAAATTATTGATATATAATATAGGTCGGGTATGGACATCCTTTTAACATATTGGTATTTATTGAGTATTAAGGCTTAAAGAAAAAGGAAGTATAATACTTACCAAAAAATAAGAATGTCCCCTTATGGATTCACCGTAATTAAAATCTCTGAACAAAAATGCCACACTTCCACAACGCGGTATCTCCGGATATGCACTGCGTAGGTAGATAGGTATCAACCAAACATTTTAAAACGCATTTCGGTTATTAGTTTTTTTAGTCTATTTTGCCACTATTAGTGTAAAGAAAAAAGAGCTCTTAGTAACATCAAAACAGACAAAGAAATTGGCATGCACTGTAGTGTACATTTTGTCACTATTTAACTCATTAAGGGGTAATAAACACTTGCATTAAGTTTTTCTACCCTTTTGATTTATTTTAATAATAAACAGTGTGAATGTACCAATAAATAATGATCATATTCTTTAAATGTGTTTAATAAAGTTAATAAGCACTAAATGCTACCTAGTGTATTTTGTAGTGCAACTTTTACACTCACAAATCAACTCTAATATTTTTACCCCTACACTAAAAAATTTACACGTGCAAAATTTTTTACTGTGTGTAAAAGGTCGCCTTTTCGTTCTCAAAAGCAATAAAACAAAGGACGAGGAGGGCGAAGAGCCTGTTGCGCGCACCTGGCAGCTTCTGTTCCGGTGTCCTTGTAGGCACTAGGCTAATTAAAAAGGGACAATATCGGGGCGGGCTTTGACGCCGGACACCACGCGGGAAACTTTCAGTTCTTTGCGATCGACGGGATGAAGATCTGCTTCTCTCCAACGACACTTGATCTTTTATACGGTGTTTGATACGTTTTTGAAGTGATTTTTTTTAATAAGTTTTGTCATGTAAGTTTTTAAAAATAAAGTTTTTAATTTTGTATTAAATTTGTATTACAAATATTAATAATAATAAATAAAAATGCAAATTTAAGTTGGGTATTTAATGGAATTTATACATCAAAATTGAATTTTTTTTACATACATTTAAATGTCAAGTTTAAATTTAATAGTTTTTGTAAAAAAAAAATTTTAGTAAAAAAAATTTAATAATTATTAATATTTATAAAAAAAAATTGTTTTTGTCAACTTTTAAAATGTGTTTGTCAAGATTTTAAATTATTTGCAAATTTGGCAAATGCATTATAACCCCGGCGCATTCGCCAATTTTGTAACCAATTAAAATCTTGGCAAAAATTTTAAAAGTAAATAGGGTAAACTGAAAACCTAAAGAATATTATTTATTTAAAATTTATATATGCCGTTGTTTTAAAGATTTTAGTTTTTTCTTATAAATACACTCACAGGCAAAATAATCGATCCACACAAATTTTCGATGAATTTCAATCGCAAATAACGTTTTTATTTTGAATTTAAACGAAAGAATATTGTAGACAAATTAATGGAGAATTGCTCACATGTTAAAAATTTACTAAAAAATATACATACGTTTATAATATGCAGGTTTAAACAAAAAGATGTTTTTTACCATAAGTTTAAGATACTCTGTAGATTGGCAAAACCCTATATTATTCTAAATTAATTATCAAGTTACATCTATTCTTAACAGATTTGTCTTCAGTTCAACTCGATATATTTATTTTTGTAGAAAATATGGATTTAAAAAAAAACATTGCTATTTCCAATATTTTTTCTGAAGGAAGAACTAAGGTTGATATGGTCCATCCATAGCTTATGGAGGATGACAGTGACAGTTTTGTTGAATCATCCCACACTTGGACATGTCATGTACAACTTTCAAAAGCTATCAAATTGTTTTTTGCAAATTAATGTTTTTACTTTCGAGGTGTCTTTTTACTTTTAAAAATGGATATGTCTCCGACTCATATTGCCAGAGCCATTGCTTTAATCCAGGATGGACGGTCACAGTATTACGTGGCAAAGTTTTGTCATGTAAGTTTTTTTAATAATAATAATAACGATTATTGTCCAACAGATATAAAATCCATTTACATACATACAAGAAATTAAAATAAGTCCTAATATTATTAAAAAAATATAAATACAAAAAGAGGTATAACAAGACTAGACTAAACATTTTTTACATAAGCTATCAATTATAAAACCAATACTATTGAAGTTAATGTCACATTTATTGCAGTATATATTAAAATTTTTGCACATAAAATAAATTGGTGACTTAAGAATAATATTTGACCTAGCGTTGGGGCAGTAAAATGTAAGGTTGGTACGAGTATTTCTTGGTATTAAATAATTTATTTGGTTTAATAGTAGGAGAGCGTCAATTTTGTTATGTACCAAATTGTACAAAAATTTTACACTTAACGTGGCTCTCCTTAACTGCAGGGAACTAAACCCGAATTCATTCAAAAGAGTTAAGTGATCATAACCCTGATCTGGATATGCACCGTTTTGTTTAAAAGAGAGAAATTTTAAAAACCGTCGTTGAATTTTCTCCAAGTTACTTATATTAGTAGAGTATATTGGATTCCAAATTAGAAAACCATACTTAAGCTTAGAGCGTACAAATGAATAATAAAGAGTTTTAAACGCCATTTGACATTTAAAGTTTTTGGTATTTCTAATTATAAAACCAAGGGTTCTGTTGGCAGATGTTATTATGCTATTAATGTGGTTAAGAAAATTTAATTCGCTATCAAATAATACTCCCAGGTCTTTAATTGCGGTGACACGGAAAAGTAAACTTAGGTTTAGGGTGTAATCAAAGAATGTTTTTTTCTTTTTTTAGTATATGTGACTACTTTACACTTGTTTGCATTAAGACCCAACTGGTTTTTCCTGCACCAGTCTTCAATCTTACACAAATCATTTTGAAGGGCCTTACAGTCATAAACACTGCGTATTTCTTTAAATATTTTCAAATCATCGGCAAACAAAAGTCTTTCACAAACAATATCGTCGCCTATGTCATTTATGAAAATTGTAAAAAGAAGAGTACCTAGATTAGAGCCTTGTGGTACACCAGAAGTTGATAAAAACTCTTAAAACCACTATAGGAAACATACTGGTATCTATTATTTAAATAGGATGTAAAAAAGTTCTGAAGTGCTTCCAAAAAACCAAATAACTCAAGCTTAGAAATAATAATAGGAAGACATATCCGATCAAAAGCCTTTGAAAAATCTGTATATATGGCATCTACCTGCCCACGATTATCCAGTACTTCAGAGGTAAATTGGGTAAAATAAGTCAAATTCGATACCGTTGAACGGTTTTTCATAAAACCATGTTGGTGAAAAGAAATAGAGTTTTTGACTTATGGGTAGATATCACAGACCTGTGGTCTGTGGTAGATACGCATATGTAAAGACATTTCAAAAACCTTTGAAAAATTTGATAAAATAGCTATAGGTCGGTAATTATTAATTAAACTATTATCACCCTTCTTAAATATTGGACACAATCGGGCTACCTTCCACATATCTGGAAAGGTTAATGTGAGCGATTCTCCATTAATTTATCTACAATATTCTTTAATACTCGTTTAAATCCGACATTAAATAAAAAAGTTATTTGCAATTGAAATTCATCGAAAATTTGTGTGGATCGATTATTTTGCCTGTCAGTGTATTAATATTTATTACAAAAATTGCTTCTGTCAACTTTTAAAATGTTTTGTCAAGATTTTAAATTAATTGCAAATTTGGCGAATGCATTATAACCCCTGCGCATTCGCCAATTTTGAAACCAATTAAAATCTTGGCACACATTTTAAAAGTTAATAGGGACACTTAAGGAATATTATTTGTTTAAATTTATATACGCCGTTGTTTTAAAGATTTTGTTTTTTTTCTTATAAATATATAAAATTTAATTAATTTTTAATAATAGTTTTTATAAAAACATGCAAAGAAGTATACCTGATAATTGGACACATGGAACATAGAATTTTATATAATTTTTTAAGTTTTAAAACAAAATGTTTTAGATTAGGTTCAACTGACATGATGACATTTTAGCTTTATTTTTGTACAAAGCGTGTTTCTGTATAGACTTATGAGTCCTATAATATGAAAATTTTTGTAAGCTTAAAAACAGTTTATGAAAACTGCCATAAAACTTTAGCTGTCCTATTTAGTTTTCATAACAACCAGTAATATTAATATTAACCTAGCCCCCACGGCAGAAAAAGTTTTCAATTGGAAAACACGTATATTTTTAAAAATCAAACAAATTTAAATTTGACACAAATACTTTTATTTAGGACTATCAAAAAAAAATCCAAACAAACTCTAAATAAGGACCACCACATTATAAACAGAATAGTTTTTGTTATGTTTATAATAATTAATAATACAGTAAATTATCATTTTATAAATACAAATACCTATTTTAAATTAAAATTTTATATTAATATAAATTATGTATTGACATTTTTAATTTATGAATTAAACATACATATCTATGGCATTATATTTGCAAATATTTTAATGTTTATTAGTAAAATTATCAATTTCAATTTAAAATTTGTTATTAACATAAATGATATATTTATTAAATAATAATATTTAACATTATATTTAAACGTGTAATAATTATAAGGAAATTTAATTAAACAGTGTTCTTCCAAGTGACCTTATTAGATTGTTCCAGTTTAGATTTCTGTAACTTCGCTTAGATTAAATTAACTTAAATTAACTTATAAAGCGCCGTTAAAACAAAGTTTTACTTAAATACCCTAATAAAGACTTAAGGGGATCAAAATCTCTATTGATTAAAGTGTAAAGAAAAATAGTGTTATCATTTAAAAGTTAAGTTAAATGTAATGATTTATAGCACTGGTCGGCAAAATTAATTTTTAGTTTGCCAATAACTTTTCTAGGGTAATTTGGAATTATTGTTTTTATAATTTTTGACCTTAATTTGTGAACACTCTGTATAAGCTAGAGTAACAAAACTAGGCGAATGTGTAGTTCTTGTAATACCTAAAGAAATGACAGAATATTTTTGCAATTAGAATTTATACAGTGCTTGAAAAAATTGATTGAAGTTTGACGATACTTTTTGACTATCCCGTATAAAATTTTATTACAAAATTATCGTTTTAGGGGTTTTTAGGTATTCCAAATTCAGAAACGCTATCGGTTTTTAATCGTACAGTGTTTTTTCAAATTCCAATTTAAATGGCCAACTCTATTTTGCACTACTATTTTTGGAATCCATAAAGTATTAAAATTAAATTATATAATAAATCCCAAGCAGCATTTTAAGTAAAAGCGTAGAGGTTTGAGGCAATATTACTTAATTTAAGTGAATATTTTGTTAAATTTACCTTAAAAATTTACTTTGAAGTAAAACTTTCTTTAAAGTTATTTAATAAGTTATATTTATGTTATTTTTTCCTATTTTAATAACCCTTAAGTCTTAACACTTTAAAGTATTATGAGGGACGTAATTTTTACGAAAGAAAATTACTTATAAGTGTATTTCACCTAAAGGATAATTTAACGGTAATTTTAACGTCAGAATTTTTACTTAATGGTAAATGTTACTCATAAGTCATAATTTTACGATATTAAGACCACTTTATAACCGTAAATAATTCCTATTTGCCTGGTATTTTTTAGGGTTATTAGTGGTAATAAATACTATTAATATTGACTAAACAAGGAAAAATAAGCTTAAAGTAAAAAATAAAACTTTAAGGGAACATTTTTTTCAAGATGGCATCCATTACTTATCTAAACATTTATATAATATTTTTTTCATAAATATTTTTCTAAAATGTAATAAGAAAAGTTTTAGTTATTAAAAAATGATTAAAACTAAATAATTTTTAAAAGATTTTATAAAATTTTTTAGGTTTTAAGTTTTGTTGAATTTTTACCCAAGCAATAATTTTTCTT